AACCCAGAAACCAAAATCATGAGTTACATTACGTTTCATTGCAAGATTATAAACTTGCATTACCTCCATGCCATATCTATGTATGACTAGAAACACACGCAGTAGGAAAGGAGGCTTTGATAGTTCTACCCAGAACTTTTTGTTTTGTTATAAATTCTCTGCACAGAGAAACAATAGAGACGTCGTGTCTGACGGTCATTCAGTATGTTTGATGTTTGGGATTACTCAACAGATTTTAATGCAATTTTATATGATAGGTCTACTGGAACGGTTTGTTGTCAGACGAACTTAATTTTCTCCGTTTTATTAATTTTGGATGTGATGATAATAATAATAATAATAAATACTGTTTAATTGTGATAATCACACCAGTGATAATAATAATGACCGGAAATAATGGATACAGAAACGAAAGAATTATCTTGTGTCGCAAAAGCACTCAGCTGTTGTTTAAGTTCGCGTCTATTTCCTATGGAATATTCCATTGAAACCGTGGTGGGAGCCAGGAGCAATACAAACTGCACGACACATAACCTTCTGTTGAGTGTTATCGCGATACTTCGCAGTAGTTCCGAGGACAGGTAAAAGTAAAGACGTACTCAAACTCAATTAAGCGCACTCCATGTGACGTATGGTGAGTGGAGGTGTAGCTCCACGCATTCTAAACAGATGGAGGTGAGCGGTCAGCTTCACTCCCTAGCCGCTTTACGCCCGAGGAAAGATATCCGGTGACGATTGGGCAGGAGACTGGGCGAGCCCCAGAGGTGGTCTGTAAGGTATGGAGAAGAGAAATATCGGCTTTTGCCGGGAATTGAAAACCAATTGTCCAGGCCCTAGGGATTCCAAGGATGCATTTATTTATTTAACAGCTGATTTCAGTATTAAGGCCACCTCCAAAAGTAGTGATGAAAGACGAGAGAAAGGTTATAATATGTGTGGTTTTAATGCAGATTCCCTTTTTTTCTGTTCAAGAAACAATAACACCCTAAAAATGTATCATTTATTCCTGATTTATGTGAACCTGAAGGTGATACTACAAATCCAGAAGCCGTCAGAGTTACAGATAACTTAGCCGGTTCATTTAACAATTTCTTGTCTCGTTGATGCCTGAAGAATAGGGTAGTGCAGAATTGCTAATCAGATAATCTGTGGAATATATTTCTTTTTGCGAAACTGATATCCGTGTAGCAAGTCAGGAAATTCATCACCTTTTATTGGATACAGAGATTATTTACCATGTTGTTGATATACCATCAGTAGACTCTATTTTAGTCACTTGAATTGTGTTTATATACTCGTACCCTATTTCTTTGACTTATTTTAATAGTGTTCTCCCATTTTCTCCTGTGATCACAAAGATGTCTCATGCCTTTAGGTTTTTCTTTTTGAGCGACTCCAACAAATCAAAATTGCATTCACGAAGAAATGTATAGCAAGTGGTATCTGAGGAAAACTTGCTACCATTGAGTTCAAAATGCGTTATTTTCCGTCTCGTATTAAAAACCAAAAGTTGAAAATACGTTACCATAAAGCTATGGCTCAATGTTAAGCAGTTTTCTTAACGGGTGTAAAATTCGGTCTCTCAACCTAAGGTAAAGGATGTTTGGGAACAACATTTTCAAGGGAATATTTGGACGTGAGAGGGAAGAAGTAAGAAGAGAACAGTACAAAATGAGGATGTGCAGAGTTTTGATCTCTTCACCAAGTATTCTAGAGCCACCAGATTAAGGAATAAAAGAAACGCGCGTGGGAAAAGTGGAGAAATTATACAAAATTCTAGTCTAAAAACCAAAAGGAAATAAGCATGTTCGGAGACGTAGTCATCGGTGGTGGGATAATATTAAATTGAATCCAAAATTGTCCCATAAAAGGCAGGGAATTTCTTGAGTAACCGGCTGACCGTCAACTTCTCAAGAAGGCATTCTGCTCTGTGTGGTTAGTTACGCAATATTACAACTTTGAACTCATTTCTTATGATGTTTGAAAGTGGCTTGAGGTCTAAAACAGTCGAACAGGTCTGATCTAGGTTATGCAGAGACAATAAGCGATTCAACTGTGAGTTTATGCGAAGATTTGCTATTCACCGCCTGACCGGGACGCTGCAGCAGTACGAATGAATCCCTGCTTCTCTCTTGATGCCAGTCATGCCATTTGGATAGAAGAGTTGTGTGTTGTTTTCGTCTGGCCAGGCGGTAGACCTTGGCTTACATTGATGTGATTATGCAATTTATATTTGAGAATTTTTAAGACTGGAAATTGTGATAGTGTTATAAGCCGAGAGAATACGCAAAAGTGAATGAAAACTTATTACTATCCTGTTAAGTATGAAATGTTTAAGTTGCCTTTAATATATTGCTTACGGTATAAATCGGCCACATACACATTAATCAAGATAGGTGCTTTCATATGGCGACATATGACATTTTCTGCTCAAACCTTCTCTGATAATTACGTGCATTTGAGATAGGTCATTTTGAGCAGCTAGTAGTCACTCAGCTGGCCAAAATTTTCCATATTTTATACGGAAACCAGAAGTTATTTACTGTATCGACAAGAACATAACAGTGAATCATAGTATGAACTGGTTTAATCCAGGCCACAAAACCCAACACTGCTTTTTAAGAGCAGGTTTAATATTATTCTCCCATCTATTCTGTCCTGCCCAGGTTTTCTGGCTGAAACATATTAAGATGGCTGTCTTCTGGGTTGTTGCGCAAGGATCTCCGAAGCGTCGGTAAACTTCTACCAGACTACACGGCGCAACAACCCAGAAGACAGCCATCTTCAGACTCACCGCCGCGAAAACTTCAAATCCAACGTAAAATTTATTAATTGCTTGCCACGTACCCCGTGCATTTTATTCTGTTTGAAGAATACAAATGGTGAAGTTTCACATTATGTAACTTTCTCCAGTCTCGTGTTACTTCTACACAAATATGCCCTGAACATTCTCTTGAGTACTTTGTTCTCATACACCTTCAATCTGTGTTACTCTCTTACGTTAGTGTGAGAGACCAAATTTCATACCTGTATAAAATGAGTAAAACCTGTACTCGTGTATAGGCCAATTTTAATATTTACCGACCTGTTTTTAGTTGAAAGTTGGAAGACGAAATATTCTGAACTTATGTGACAGCAAGCTGTAATCGATCCAAAAGATTTTACCTTCTTAACGGAAGATTTAATAGCGCAGAAAGCAATACAACTAATTATATTCTGCAAAACACGATAGGAACGGCCGAAAATCGAGGTCGAGTGACTTATCACTTCTGATTTCTATTCGGAAGGTCTCTGGTTCAAATATTTGCTCACAGAATGACTCTCCTGACTGGATTTTCGTGGTTTTCATTTGTCCCTCCAGTGAAAATCGGCATATTGCCTTAAATTAGGCCACGAACCCCTCCTTCGATATCCAACATTTTTTAACTACTCCGCAAAGAATGAAATTACTCAGCAGTCTACATTTTCAACTAAAATGTACTCAACTGAGAAAACGTCGTTATATAAGGAATTAAAATAATTTCCTGTGTGAGATTTGAGGTTGTGATGGCGGTGAAAATTTCTATGTTGGTCTTCTACGTTGTAAAACCGTGTGGACTTGTAGGTAAAAGTAAAGTAAAGTAAAGTTTGTCCCACTATACGCCATGTAGGCGTTTGGGGTGAGTGGAGGTATAGCTCCTCCCTTCCTTGACCTCGGCACTAGATGGGGGTGAGTGGTCAGCATCACGCCCCGGCAGGCTTTGCCCCAGAGCCGGTCTGGACGCAGAGGCTAGAGGAAAAATCCTCTGCCCCCGTCGGGGATCGAACCCCGGTCGGTGGACTTGTAGGTAAATAGCAACATTTCGGAGGAAAATGCTGCCCTCGTTTTCAGGGCTGAGGTTCAGCCCTGAAGCTGAAAATGCCGAGATAAAAATATGCGGAGTTTAACCTCCATTCCCTCATTCGCCTTCCTGGCGTGATGGCACAGGGACATATTTACTTTTATGCCAGCAATTGTCACTGGTTATATACAAGATCGCTGTCAGTGTGTGGCTGATAAATATAGCGGTGGGTCGCTAGTTCAGTTCTTCATCACATAACCATTGGCCGTAGTTGAGATATACGAATAAAACTGAAATGACGTCTGTTGCTACAGATCTGTAGGAATAGGCAATAAAGTCCAAAAGACCAGAAAAGAAAAAAATATCTGCCATGAGTCACCAGTTAGCTGAAATTACATATGGCGGCATTTACATGTTTCTTAGTGAGGAGAATGAATTGTTTTCATTTTTATTAACAGCTACTGTTATTGAGAAGAAAACAATTTGATGTTGGGGGAGAGTCCGTTTAGAAATTGATTGTGTATGTCAGACTGGAAAACACTGGAAAATACACACACACACAAAAAAATGCGCCGCGTACTCTAGTAGAAGGCAGCCATCTTCGTACTCGCCACCGAGAGAACCTCAAATCGTACTTGGTCTCCAGGCAAATGCAAGGAGAGTATGTATCCTTCTAAATCTTCACATTTATTATTCGCGACATTGTGCTCTAAGTAAGGACAAAAATATAGATAAATGTGTTAATTGAATAAAAATTTTCCATCGTCTAGTAAATATAAAACGTAAAACGACGTTTCGGAGATGGGACTCTATCTCCGTCTTCAGGTTCCTACACAGTTGGGCCCACTAGATAGAGCTATTGATATAAATGTGTTAGTTGGACTCAGCTGACTTATAATCTGATCCAGTTTTGAATATTCTGTTTATGCGTTAGTTTAGCCTTTAGTTTAACTAGGTGTTTGGTCACTTACTTTGTTATCTAAAATCCGTACTACATAGTTGTGCTACTCCTTGCGTCGTGGTGTAATATTCAGCATCCTATTACGTATATTATAAGCGAGATAGTACAGAATGACGTAATGAACAACACGGTTATGCATCTTCCATCATTGGCTGCATTGTCGTTTATAGTTTGTAATTATGCATAAACAAAGACAGTTTTGTGCAAAGGAAGTTGGTTAATAATTTATTTATTTAATTGTATAATTTTATACACTTGTAATCTAGTGACAGGCTCTCACAGTGACATCGGCAATGACCCCGGGTTGACCTCTGTGGCCGTGACTGAGGAGGCTCTTACTAACCATGAAAATAATGGCATTTTAATGTTTTACAAAGGACAAATTCACTTTGTAGTTCCATCATAAAACACATTGCAAAATTTCACCTTGAGTATCATTATTAACTTTTCTGTACATTTACTTTGACGGACACAAACGCATTAGCACTTCCTATCCGATACGTTTTCCTTTCATTATGAAACAAATTTAAAAAGTCGTGGAGCAGAACTTTGTTATGCACAGAAGTGTGTATGTACTCATATTTACTTTTTATACACATGCATAACCTGCTTGCGTGTACTTATTATATGTGCAGTTATGAATGCCTACATATCCGTATGTAGCTTTATGCATCTACGCGAGATTTCTTCAGTCTTTATAGCAGTAAATGGGGATTGTGGTTTCGTGGGTTATGACGACGTGTAGCCTTGTAAGTAAACACCGACAAGACTGCAAGGCATCATAGCCCACATGTGTACGCATCTTAGTGAGATCTGTCGTGAAGGTGGAATTCGCTCAAGATTGTGCCCAATGAAGTGTTTACGGCTGTAGACGAATTACGAAGCAACGTAGGTACAGTTAGCAAACAATAACACAGTTTGTGAAAAGTGAGGTTTCCACGGCGGTGAAAAAGACGTTCTTCCTGG